GTGGAACTTAAGAAACAAAATAGTTGAACATGGGGGGATAAAAGAGAGAGGAAAACCATAAACATACTCTTAACTGTAGAGAACAAACTGATGGTTGCTGGAGGGGAAGTGGGCGGGGGGAAGGGATGGGTTAAATGGGTGATGGGTATTAAGAAGGGCACTTATGATGATCACTGGGTATTGTATGTTAAATGATGAATCCCTAAATCCTACACCTGAACCTAATATTACACTGTATGTTAACTAACTAGAATTTAAATAAAAACTTGAAAGGAGAGAAAAAGATGTAGGGTATAGTCTGGCAATGGATATATTTCCTTTTTTATAGGGGACCCTAAGCTGGGAGAAGACTTCGAGCAGAGGTCAAGAGTGACAAAGTGATGAAGGAGACTGGCCCCTAAATTCCATTTTGCAAATAGATTTTGAAGGATTTAAAAAAAATTCTACTTTTTTGGGGTGTTAAGGTACCAATCTTTTAACACAGCATTATTTACATCTATATTTTGGATCTAAAAGTTAGCTTTATGGTGAGATATTAAAGGGAGGTTTTCTAAGGAGGCACCAAAGGACTAGAGACGGAGGACTGTGGTGCATTTGGGGGAAAACCATAAAAAGCTTTTTGGGCCCTATAAGCATCTGACCTGGACTAAAGTTTTGGACTAAATTTCCAAGTACTAATCTTAAAATGAGGATTATATATATATTTTCCTATTCATTTTTCCCAAGGCACTTGGCCTAAAGGCCATAATGAAGAACTACTGAAAGTAGCTGAATGAGAATGTAGATCAAGTGCTTTGGGAGATTTCAAATATATATACATCACATTATGTTTATATATAGAGAGAACACATATATGTATATTTATAACTTAAATACATACACATCATACTTGCTGTTATGGGTTAATTCTCCTTATATAGAGAGAGCTAACCATTGAATCTTGTAATGACATTAGACATAATTTAAACAAATAGTATTTCTAAGGTCTGTGCTAATTGGTGGAGGGAATGGGGAGTAGGGAAGGAGAAAGAAGAAAATGAATAGCTGGTCACTATGGTTAGTGTTACTGCACCTTACATGCAAGAGCCGCAGCTAAGCTCACTTGGCTGGTCCTCTGCACAGCCCTACATCCATCCCAGCAAAACCAACCTCAGAGCAAAGCAACCCAAACATCCAATGGCTCTCCTGATGTCACTGGATGCCACGCTACCTGTCATCATATTCCACATTCTCTTCTGTTGCTAGGTACCCTGGACATTCTTAATTTCCAAAGCTCTAGGTGCCGTTTTCTCCTTGGTCCTCAAACACAGTTTTTAGTTCCAATGCCATGGTACCCAGGCTGACACTTGAGAGAAGCACCAGCGTTCTGGGCCTTTGAACCTAAAGGCCATACCTACAGATCTCAACACTGTACCCTTTGTGTAGCAGCTCGGTACCCACACGCCAGCAGCCACTTAGGATGGAGCAAATTATCTTGGGTAAGGAAACAGATTTCCCCTTTAATGCAATAAACTGATAGGAGTTGGTTATGATAAATAGGAGTCTGAGGTGTGTGGTTTTCAAATACTGAAAAAGTATCTTTAAAAAAGAGAAAATAAAAATCGTTAACATGGTTACAAGAAACCAGACAATAAAAAATGGTTAATTTAGCTTCAGTTTAATGTCTGCTCACTCTTTATATTGAATTTTTCTAATATAGATATCAAAAACTTTGTTTTAAATTTTGATTTATAAGATAGTGGCATGTGACATTACTGGTTCTTTTACCATTTAAATGGTAAAATGCGTGAATATATATTTTATACAAATAAGTAAATCATCCATTCGTTCTTCATAAAACATACTGATTTACTCATGAATGAAATATGGAAAGCTGTGGAATTTAGTTACCTTGGTTACATCTGGAGTGAACTACTCTGTCTAAAAATATTTTCTCTTTTATTGTTTATACTTTATACCAAAATTATAAATATATGACTTTTATTAAAGATTCTCCTGATAGGTAATAATGTTTATTTTATTTAAAATGTGAATAAATGGTACACTAGTTACTAAATATGTATGACAATTTCAGACTAAAGACACAGATATACTATTTTAATTTTTAACTATAAAAGATATTGGATTTGTTTTATGCTAGTATAGATTTGGTTTTATTTTATTTTACTTTTTAAAAAGATTATTTATTTATTTATTTATTTATTTATTTATTTAAGAGAGAGATAGAGCGAGCAAGAGAGCATAAACAGGGGGAGGAGCAGAGGGAGAGGGAGAAGCAGGCTCCCTGTCAGGGAGCCTGACAGAGAAATCACGCTCGATCCTAGGACCCTGAGATCATGACCTGAGCCAAAGGTAGATGCTTAACTGACCAAACCACCCAGGCACTCCTAGATTATGTTTTAAAATGAAATATACCTTTAGGGTTATTCATTCTTTTAACATATTGATAAAATTTTCTTACATAAAATATTTAGCATTTTTTAAAGGATTCTAGTACACAAATGTTAAATCACACTTTTCTTCCTGAATTTAGTAATTGGACTGGAATGCGACCGTTATGCTTTTCTTTGGACTTTTGTGGAAAGAAATAAATAATCAGAAATGACCTTGCATACTTTAGCTTTGGATTTGACTTCACATAAAGGACATGCACAATTTCCTGAATTACTTATGTAAATTATTCCCTTAATTCTTTATTTCAAAAACCTTATATATTTCATAATTAAAAGACTGTTTTTGATTTCTCAATAGCTATGGAAAGTGCTATGTCATATTATTTATGACTGGGTTTCCCTAAATTCTCTTACGTTTGTTTTCTTTCCACATGAAGTCTTTTGTTGAATGAGGATGTAAAAGGAGTAATTTATTAGTAGAATCTTGCCATTTGAATATGTTTTAACTTTTTCACAAAATAGTTTTAAAATATTGTTTTAAAATTTAAGTTTTTAAAATATTATTTTACTGAAAATTAAGCTTAATGCCCTTTGTTTTTATTTTCCACTGGAGCTGGAGATCTGGGCTTCCTCCTGGACCCTTGTCTGTCCTACTCACGGTCTTTACCTGTTCTTTTCTTATGATTATTCTAGTCCCCTCTTGTTCTACACTATCGTTGCTTTAGTTTGGGCTTTCAACAATGCTGACTCAGATGGCTTCTAGAACTCTTAATGGTTTTCCATTTTGTCACCATCATCCCAAACTCCTCATAAGAGTCAGAGTAATCTCCTTAAAAGATTTTTTTTTATATCACCTCCAACAATAAAATTGCTCCTATTTGCTCCCAAGGTCCAAGCCAAGCTCTTCGTTATACAAAGCACATCCTCTGCCTCCGTATCTAGGTTTCCCTTCCTGACTCTTTTGTTTGCACTCAACACCCCAACCTTATTTCTCATCTGCCCTGCACATTCTGTCCTCGAAGATATTGCGCCTTCTGATCTCTAAGTTGCAAACGCTCTTCCCCAAGTTCTTCACCTGTTTAAGGCTTACTCATCTTTTGGAATTCAGCTCATATGCCACCTTCTTTAGGAAACTTCTGTGGTGTCCTTACCCCCTTGTTTTGGATCAAAGCCTTTTTCCTCTGCATTTTAGTTGCATTTTTTTTTCCATGTCTCTTAATTATTTGTGAACTCATTGAAGGTAGAGGCTCTGTTGGCCAAATTATTTAACCCCCTTTTGGCCATGTGTAGGTATTCAATAGATGTTGAATAAATGAATGAACAGGTGAATTATACCACTCCTTCAGAATTTAAATATTATTTTCATGAATTTAATTGATTAGAAGGCATTAACGATTTCAGTGCATCCCACAAAAATAAAACAAACTTGAGAATGTTCAGAAATCAAAATATTACTCTTGTGCACACATATTTATATGGCTTCATCAATAACCCTTAACTAAAGGAAACAATTTAACACCTTCATCCTTCACAATCCTTTAAAATTAATATAAACATGAAATTAAGAGAAATAGAATTTTATTGTTTCATGTAAATAATTTTGTTTCTTACTCTAATTGTTATTGATGTGTATTTCTAAACAAGCTTATCATTTATTTTAAAGCCAGAAAATTTTGACTAATTTTGTTTCTTCTCTTTCTTCCCTGTTTTGCTTTTTATTTATTTATTTATATTTTTATTCCTACAGTTATTTTATTTTTGTTGCTAGAAAATTTTATATGTTGTAAATAATAAAGAGTATTTAAAAATCTAGTGCCATTCCAGTTAAGAAGAAATTAATATTAACATTTTAGGCTACATATTTTCACTCTTCTCCCTCTATATGGGTATGTGTTTTCTTTTTAGAAAATTGGGATCATTTGACCATTTTTGTAGCTAGCTTTTTCCATTTAACACTTCACACTTCCCATTACTATTAATGGAAAATTATTCCACATTTCCCATATTCTAGTCATTCCAACATGTATTAAGCCAATTTTTTATTTTTGGTAATTTCTGTCACTTCTGGATGTTTGCTATTATAAACAACACTGATATAAAGGCTTTTTACCTACACAGAAATGCACACAATGAAGCCCCAGAAGTGTAATGACTGGAGCAAAGGTTATGAGCGCTTTTAATGTTTTAGATGCATATTAAACCCTCATAAAGCTTGAACCAACATACACCCCACTAGCAGGATAAACAATGCTTTTATCAGAGAATTTTCACCAAATCTGGATATTCTCACTAGAAAAACAAACTATCTGCAAATTAATTAACAAGTTTTCTTTGTTTCAATTTGCTTTCCTTTGAGATCACATTTGAGATTGAACTGTTTTCCCTATTTTGTCTTCTTCTTATCATTTTACTTCACTTCTTGTGCCTAAAGATGCCTACTAGATTACAAATAACAATGGCTGCTTCACAAGTTTATTTGTAAGGATAAATTACACAGGAGATGTAAAATTACCACAATGCCAAGCACATAATAGGAGCTCAGTAAATGTTAGTTGAAGTAGAAACTGAATGGCACATTAATTAAAATCAAACTATTCTTTCCAACAGATGATTCTGCTGCGGAGAGCTTTAATGGCAATGAGACTCTGGGGCACAGTTCAATTGCTTCAGGGGGAACACACAGCAGGGAGATGGGCGACTCCAATGGTGATGGCAAAACTGGGCTGGGGCAGGAGGAGCAGCCTCTGAACCTGAGTGACAGTCCCCTCTCAGCACAGCTGACTTCGGAATACACAATAGATGACCACAGCAGTAATGGAAAAAACAAATACAAGAATCTCCTAATTTCTGACCTCAAGATGGAACGAGAGGCGAGAGAAAATGGAAGCAAGGTAAGGTCACGTTACAATTTTCAGCGTTTCTAAGTTCGTCATGAAGTCATAAAGAAATACATATTTATACGAGAGATGAAGATTGTTTTTGCTAAAACCATTTTAAACAAATCCCAGTAATACATTGCCAAGAGATTTATAACCATAGATATCCTGTGTCCATATAAGCAATAATTTTCGGGAATAACAGTGAGCAAAATGGATAGTGTTTCAGACAAGGCTGTTGGTATGTGGGTTTTGTTTAATTTAAATTCAGTTAGCCAACTATAGTACATCATTAGTTTCAGATGTAGAGTTCAGTAATTCATCATTTGCATGTAACACCCAGTGCTCACCACATCACATGTCCTTCATATTTGTGTGTTTTTATACACGAAATCACTTGATGTAATGTTTCTCCTTCATATAATTCTCCTTCATATAATTTTCTTATGAGTCTGTCCTGGGAGTTTGTTGAGCTCAGATGTGAAAGTTTAGCTCTCAGAACATAATTATGGACTCTAAAAAGATCACTATCTAATTGCTACTAGACTGGATAGGTGTACGCCATAATAAAGTTTCAATTAGACTCTCAAATTTGCTTTAGAGACCCAGGGACTTTGGTCAATAATTTACTCCCCATACCTGGGAGAAATGTGTCAGTGTTCTAGATGAAGCTTGCAGATTAAATAACTACTGGAACAAGTAATTTATCACAAACTGTATCCTACAAAAGACAGAAACATGTTTCAGACATATCTAAATTTCTAGATTCTTTACATTAGAATAAATTACAATCCTCCCCATTCCCAATTGATTTATTTATTTTTTTAATTTTTATTTTTTGGTCCTTCTGTTTTGATTTCTATCTCTTCACACCCATTTTCAGAAATACTGCCAATTCTTTTTTGGTTTGTTTTTATTTAAATTCTGATTAACATACAGTGTAATATAGTTTCAGGTGTACAATGTAGCAATTCAACACTTCCATGCAACACCTGGTGCTCATCACAAGTGCACTCCTTAATGGGTTAAATATAACCCATCCCCTACCCACCTCCCTTCTGGTAACCATCAGTTTGTCCCATTTGATTTCTTAAAAAAAAAAAAAAATTAACTTCACATTTCTATCAGTTTGAAATAACGCATGCCGGTGATTTTTGTTCTGTAAGTTTTGAATGTATACTTCGGAACACAGAAAGATTTTTATGGAATATACATTTTGACTCCTTCCTCCCACCCCTCCTCCATTTCTAAATTAGAATTGAAGAACTGATCTTTTGACATAGATCTTAAAGCAAAATGTCTTAATTTGAATTAATTTCTGAATTTGCTGAGGCACTGTACTTCCTAAATTGGCTCTATTTAAATCTTCTTTCTTGCCTGAGGGTATGTTGTTTTATCCTCTTTTAAGCAAGTCACTGACATCATCAGACACTTAAGCATTTCTGCCTGAGGGAGGCTGCTACAACTTTTGCTGGGGTAAATGTGCAAATATTCTCTCCAGTGGTTTAAAGCCAAATCACACAAGCACAAATGATTTTTTGTATTCACTAACATGATCTGAATCAAGGTTACATTTTACAGAACAAAATAACCTTTAAGTGCTCTGGCCATCTACATTGTCTGGTCTTTATAAATGTCCTTTTTATGCCATGTATCTGTGAGTATTTTTCTAAAACTATTCAGTGGTTTGCTCTTCTCTTCTATATCCCCATATTCATTATAATGATAGGAACTATGCTCATTTGAAACACACTGTTGCACATTTTAAACAAAGTGAAGTTACTTTTCCACTCTCTAAGATGAAGTTGTAAAAAGCGCAGATTGAGTTTGGGCTATATGTGAAGAGTAAGATGAGAAATGGGCCTGGGGAGGAGACATACCCGAGGAACCAAATATTTAATGGTTTGGTAAAGGAAGGACAGCTGTATGTGAAAGTAGCCAGAAATATAGAAGAAAAATCAGAAGGGTATAGTGTATGGAAGCTAAGTGTAGTCTACCTTTCAAGAAAGAGAGTGGTCTGCTCTGATTGACAATGCTGATATACCAAGTAAGACAAAGATAGAAAACAGTTAAGTCTGTGAGAACAGTTTTAGAACACTTTGGGAGCAGAATACAAAGTGATTCTTTATTCATTCCTTCAAAGATAACAGAATAAAAGAATATATTAAATATCTGCCATACTTACACTAATGAAGTAACAGAGAACTCAGAGAGGAATCTTTTTTCATAAGACCTTTGATAAATTGTTTTGGTAAAAAGGGGTACATATACATAGAAAAGTTTCTTAGTAAAAGTATAGGCAAATATCCATTTCTGTGTTAAAACATTGGGAGTTCAAAGTAAGAAAATACTATTTCTATTGAAGTAATAAAGAGGGCTTCCTAGAGGAAGTGAGTCTTGAACTTTGAAGGAAATATAAGATTACCATTTTTTCAGAAGGGCTCTCCTGTTGGACATCGTGAAGGGCCTGGAATGCACAGGGAAGATGAGTTGGTCTCATAGGTTAGGGAACCATTGTCTATTTGGAGCTAGGTAGGACTTCATAACACGGTGTTTGAGGAAGAACCCAATATCATTATGCAAGATAGACTATTTGCCACCAATTAATTTATTCAGTGAATATTTACTGAGGGACTCCTCCCTGCAAGGCACTGTTGTAGAAAGCAAAAACATGGAAATGAGCAAACTAGGGGCCCAACCCCTCAAAAGCTTAAAGTCTAGCAGGAAAGAAAGGCAAATCCATGGTTATAATCTGATTCCATAAGTAATATGATGGGCAAATGGCAAGGTGAAATGAGAAAAGAAAGGTGGGGCACCCATGGGACTATAATGATTCTTAAGGAAGACTTTATGGAGAGATGAATGCCTGCATGAATGTGAAGTGTAAGTAGAAGTTATTCAGGTGGAAAGGATTATTTATGGTAGAGCATGTGTGGAGACATAAAGCCCTGAGAGAGCATACTTGGCATGGAGATTTGCAAGGAGCTTAGCATGGCCACAGCAGAGAATATGGTGGAGAAATGGAGTATAGAGAGGTTCCATCAGCAAAGTCTTCATGGGCCAGTTCAAGGACTTAGGATTGTATCCTATAGGCAAGTTGAGCGTGATAAGGTTGTGGTCAGCTTGCAGTTTTAGAAAGATTATCCTGGCTACATCAGAGCAGATAAATGTGATAGGGGCTAGGAAATAAAAAAGACAGAAACTGGTTAGAGAGCTATTGTGGCATTCCAGGAAGAAAATAATGCAGAAATACAAAATAAAATGAACATATTACTTTTGCTCTTTTGATATTGTATTTGTGGGATATATAGCTCAATAGATTTCATATTGCCGAACTCATGGGAATGTTTTTCACATACACTACAGTATGAAAAACCTCCTTATACATCCCATTAGGATGTAAATTCTATCAGTATGAGAATGATATCTACCTTGCTTACTGAGGTATGTCTAGCACCTGGCTTAATATCTGGTACATAGTAGGTTCTCAAATATTTTGAAGAAATAAAGTTTTATCAAATATGGGAAGTGAAGCAGAGAACATTCATGAATGACTCCGGCCTTATTGGCTTGATTGACTAGGTGGATGGTGACACCATTTTCCAAGATTCAGAATGAGAAACATTTGAAGAAGTGCTTTTTTGATATATAAGGTAAACCGTGCCTATGCAGTATCCATGGGATATATTTAATAGGCATCAAGGATATATGTTTCAGCTGAGAAGAAATATCCAGATTGGAGAAAGAAACATGTGAAAGATTTAGAAGTGCAGCCTAAAGCTCTTGTGGTTGATAAGATCACCTCAGAAGAGCATAGACTGAGGAGACAAGAGTCAAAATATATCATCCTACAGAAGAATATCGGCCCATCAAGAACAGGTGGCATAAAAGGAGTTTGTGGAGGGGAAAAAAAAACAAAAAAGGAAGAAGAAAATGAAGGCAACCAGATAAGGAGATGTTTTAGAAGCCAAAGTGTGGGGCATTTCTTTTTCTTTTAAAGATTTTATTTATTTATTTGACAGAGTTAAATGGAGTAATCCTTAGGTGAAGTGACATAGGTCTAAACCCAGGCAATGGTTAGGAGAGTTAATGCTAAGTAAGAGTTGGAGTTAGAACACATGGCAGAAGAAGGGGCAGAATTAGTGGGGAAGTGGATTGGAGACAGTTATAGAGGCTGGATAGGGAAGCCGAATCATCTTAATTGTGAAGGAGACTGTGTCTGGAATTTTGTTTTAGGGATTCTTCTTGCAATATGAATTTGTATGCAAAGAGCTCTGGGGTTCTTGGCTTTGGATCAATACTTGCTGTACCTGAGGCTACCAGGTGAACTTCATACGAAAGGTTTAGCACTCATCTTTCATTTAGCACTACCTCTTGTAGTCCTTAGAAATGTTCCAACACTTATGTACAAATTTATAGAGTGACACTACCAATTTCTTCTTCCAGTATTGTTCAGGGTAGCCTCTGCCATAACTTGGAGGAATGTAAAAGCTTAATTATATAGTATAATTGAAAAACTTAGATTTCTGTGAGTTTGACCTATTTCAAAATTTTATTGTGAATAATATCAAACAAAAATTATTATAAAGCATTTAAATCTGAACAGTGAATAGAAATGCTTAAAAAGAATAGCTGAGCTGGACTATGCCATTTACCGATTGCTTGTTATTATGCAAATTCACTCACTAGACCAGTGAATCATATTAACCAATCTAAAGAATAAATATATTGCATTGAAAGAGCTTAGGTGATATTTATTTTCTGCTTGAAGATGGCCACATTTTTAGAGGACAACTAGTAACATTAGAAATCAGAAGAAAGTAGAAATATTGATTAAAAGCTTAGAAAATGAGACTCCTGAGGAAGTGTAAAGGAACAAGTTATATAGAAAAAAAAGGTTAAGAATACACAAATTTGAATATAAATATGTTTAAAATTATTATGTGAGAATAAAAACAAAACAAAATCTAATAGAGGGAATTATGTAACTTAAAAACACTATCATTGATTTTTTT